GTTTAGAAAGTGAATTTTTTAGAAATATGACCAAAAAAACTATTTGATAAGTCATAATATTACTAGAAATGTTACTTAAGTCTTCTAATTCTATGTTAGCTTGATTGTTAAATATTATTAAGAATATAGAATGATTTTAAAAAACTGCATTGCTGACACTAATGGCGTCATCACAACTCTGTTGACACGAGAAAAAAATATTGCTTGAAGACTTGGCGCAAGAAGAAAATATTACTTGGCGCAAGTGGCGCGGAGGCCAAAATATTTTTCCACCTCTTGAGAATCAAGAATGCTACCCTTGGTGATATTCTTGGATGACATTAACATTTGATAGAAAAAAAAATTATGTCCAAGAATCATGATTATTAAAAATACACTGTGAAAATGAATTTTCCATGAATGTTATCAAAAAACTATTTGGTAGGTCAAAATATTATCGGAAATATTACCAAAAAACTGTGTGAAATTTTCTGATGTCATGAGATTCCAAGAATACCACCCTCTTGATAAGTATTCTTAGATAGCATTTTGATTCAAAAAGCTTCAAAAAAAAGTTTCCTCATAATCTGGTTTTCTCGAAAAAAATTTAATAATCCTTATATCAAACGTGGATAAATAAGATTATCAATATTAGTATTTTGGAAATTTAAAATTTTTTCTTGTACCAAACACCTTCTAAAAAGTATTCACAAATTAAAATCTTGAGAAAATCAAATTTTCAGAAAAAAAAAAAATTACAATTCTTGTACCAAACATGAATAAATAAAATTATCAATATCACTTTTCCCGAATAAAAAAAAAATCTTTGTAACATGCAGGCCTTAATTTTAGAAACACAACTGTTATTTGAAGGTCAGGGAAAAAAACTCAATAGTAGCCATTTCACTTATCCTTATATGAGGCGTCGAAAAATCTTTGCATAACTATTATTTTTACAGGTGTCCAAATCCATGACGGCATCAATTATTATTTTACAAAATCTTTACAAAAAATAATAAATGAGGGGATATGTTTTTCAAGCTATGAGTAAAATGACGGGTAGAAAGAGATTTTTTGCCATTAATTTTAGGAACAGGGGCACTATGTGAAAAGAAAATATTATGTATAAATAAATTTGTTTATCATTAAAGTTCTTTCCCTTTGAACCGAACTATTAAGTTAATCAAAACCTTAACAGGTCATATTTCTAGATCGAAATTCACTCGCTTTACTTGCACTGACGACGTTAAATAATTATCGTATGGATGATCTCATCCTATTTTGTTTTCCTTCTCGTCTATGGAGCAGCTGCATAGAGCATGGTCTATATTTATATGAATAATGTTATACACGAGGCTATGGGTTTAAGAGAGAAGAGTCCGGTCCAATAATTAAATTTGTAACATATAATTCATAAGCCTCCTTAGAAGTAAATAACTAAAGAAGAGGCATGAAATTCCAATTAAATCTAGACGTCATAGTTCACTAAAAGCCATCTTACTAACCAGATAGGTTAATAAAGCCATAATAATATATTAATAAGAGACATGCTCTTATACTAAGGTGGCATAACAAAGCAACAAATAAGTCATGTCACTATTATAAATAGAGCCTCAAAATCTAAATATGATCATATTATTTCAACTTACTTAAGTTTATCATTTAATTAATACTGATTTGAGTATCAGAATATTTTGTGAGTACTTATCTCACTCCCACCTGTTTTAGACAAATCACAATTCAATGGCATCAGACTTATCATCCAACATAATAAAGCAGCTAATCTTATCACAACAACTCAAGTAACTATCAACTTGGACGAGACTCAATCATATGTGTGTGGTCAAAGCCAACTCATCTTGGACTGATCACCCATAATATGTTTGAGGTTACCATTGTAACTTGGTAAGACGGCGAAAATATACTTCCGATCATGGAGGATAGTTAATAAGATAGTTCTAATTACAATATTCTCATAATAAAATAAAGGTATGAACCTAAATTCAACAAGAGAGTCAGGTTCAAGCTGAGAATTAAAAGCAGAGTGTAGGGTACAATGGCTCTGAGGATGTATTCTAGCAACGTAACAGCAAGGAGAATTGATATGTAAAAAGTGCATTTTCAATATTAATAAGTGATATTTATAGATGGAGAAGATTAATTCTCCAATGATAAAAGAGAACTATAATTAATCGTTTCTGTTTTCATGAGTCGCATTATATGTGAGGTAAACATCCTCACCTAATGCGTAAGGCACGCGTGCACGTGAGTGAAATCAAATATAGTGAGAAAACATTTATTCGCTTTAGGAATGCAAAGTATAATCCTCTTTATTTTATTTTATTTTGGTAAAGTATAATCCTCTTTAATGAACTTTAGATACTAACCCAATAAATTAAGATTGTTTAGCCGGTGCAAAACATTATTCTAACACCTAGTTGGTTGGAGTGCAAATTCGTCTAATCGAGAGGGTTAAACATACTCCTTCATATTTGGTTTGTTAATTGCAATCAAATGTCTGATGGATTGAGTGATAGATTTTTGCAACCCTTACGCAACGGGGAAAGTAAGAGTATTTAACAAGGTTTTTGATTATGTAGAGAATTTTTTTATCAATACTATGAAATAAAAAGAGAGGATGTAGACATTACAGGGTTACTTTGAGCGGCTAACACTTGTGAAGGTATCCCCCTTTCTTATACAGCTATCAAAATGGGTTAGCCTCTTTCATTTGGCCCTAGCATGTGTGGGTTAAGGTCAAAAAGTTTGCAGGACTAAATAAACCTCAATAATAAAGGTTTGCATTGGCCAAAAATTTTATTGGTTAGGGTTAGCCTGCTCATCCAAAATTATAATTTCATAATTTTTTTCATCATATTCAATATATTAAAAAATATTTTAACAAATAAATATTTAATATTTTCTTCACATATTTTATACAAATTATAAATTTTTTATAATTTAATTTTTTAATAAAATAATATTTGTACACAAATATACAAGTGAAAATATAAATACAATTTTAATATAAGTGAAAATATAAACAAAATTTTAATATAAGTGAAAATTTAGTTACTATTTTTACTAAATTCATTATTAAATGATGGCATCAAATAAAGATTTTCTCACCGAGAGTCATAACAGAATACAACAACTATAGTGAAAAACTAAAAAGTAATGATGAAAAAATTATCTTACTACCAGTATTGAATAACTGTTCTTAGTATGCTATATATTTAAAAGTAAAATCATTGAATTTCTTTAACTACTACCGTTACAAAAAACTTTTTAGTTATTATTATCCACAAAATTACTAAAGTGTATTGTATACAATATGTTTCAATACAAATTCGGATGTATAACATGCTTAAATGTCAATAGAATTTTTTTTTATTGATGCGCAAATGAAAATCTATGTTAAAATATATCGCTGCTGAAAAATTCATTTTTGTTGTGAAATATTATAGATGAACTTTCACATGGTTTATAACACATGACTCTTTATTTTTCACGACCTTTGATATATTCTATAACCATCACACTAATAGTGTGTTGAATTGTAGAATACATCCAAGGGGTGTTGTAAAATATTATGGATAACTTCACATAGTTCATAACATGTGACTCTTTGTTTTTTCATGACTTCCATGTTTAAAATACATTTAAGATATGTTCTTATATAGGCTCTTTGCTCATACTTGTTCTTTCTTTTATTCCCTTTTTTTTTCTACACTTTTCTCTTATATTCTCCGTCAAACTCACAATAATATTTACTTATATTTATAAACATTTAAATTTATATAATTTTTATTTTTTAAATAATAAAAAATTTGATGAAAGAAAAAGTTTGACCTGTGGGCTAGCCCTAACCTAGCCCGCTAAATTATAGAGTTTTCAGGGTTAGAACTAAAAAAAGGTCCTACTACAAAAGGCCTTTAGTGAATTAGGGCCAAATATAATATTTTGCAAGCCAAACTTATTTTAACACTTCTGCCCCTTTATAAATAATTCTTCCTTGCTCGCCTTTACCTTTTAATTATTGAATGCACTACTATGTTTAATGTATGAGAGTTTGTTGCCATTGAAATTTCGTATTATATGGTTCAATTGTTGTTAACCTAAGGTGTGAATAAAATCACAAGTGACCCAATAATATACTCATTCCTTGCAAAGAAGTTTAATATCTTAATTTTTTAAATAACCAAATTAATTATTAAATTATCTCAAAGTTTGCTATTTTTTTATTTATATGTCTTACTATCGTAATTTGCTAATTATTAAAAACGAAAAGTAAATATTGTTTAAGTTTTCAATGTATTAAATATTAAAATTTTCATCAAATTTTTTTCTTTTCTTTTCCTTAAAGCATTCGTTATGAAGACCCTTAACATTAATCATACGATATGTTACAAAGAATATTAAATGCAATTATTTGTAGAGAATAATTTTCAAAAATTACAATTTTAAATCTTCAAATTACTAGTGCACAAAAATAATTCATAGATAAGTCAAGCTGGTCAATCTGTCCGCTAATGTGAATCAGCATGCTGCAAGCCGAGCACATTTTGAGTTAATAAATTTTTAATCTAATTTGATCCTATACAGACTCTTTGGGCTTGTCCACTGACTTATATTTCATTTGATTATTTATATAATTAATATCCAAAAATATTAATTTTAAATAATTTAATAAAATAACTTGTGTTAAAAATTTAACCTAATTTACATCATAACTAAAATTAATTATTACTTAAAATAAATCATATTTGTTTAAAATAACATTTATATAAATTTAAAAAGAAAAAATTAATAGTTATAATAGTTAACTATGATAATTTTTAGCTTGTCAGTTAGCTCAGCCCACCTCGATTCAACTCGCATTACTGGGCCAAATAAGATCAAGTCGAGTGAAAATCTTTTTCTTTTCTTCAATTTTGTTGGCCCAACATACACATTTTGTTAAATTATTAGCAAAGTGCGCTTAAATGGGTCACTATGTTCAAATATGTCAAAATCTCACAATATTTCTGCGTATATTATTATACTTATTCTTCCTAGCCATTTTAGCTGGATTTAAATATCACTCTATATTCTAAGAGCTGCATCTTTATGCATGAAATTGCTTACAAGTAACAAGCAAGCCTCCTACGACATTATGCCTATAATTACCTTAGGTAGTAATTTGACTACATCTATTTCCTCTGATCTCCACATGTGAATGTTGTTATTGCCAACTTCTACTTGGCTGTCAAGAAGCTCATGCAGATTGGAGGACGAACCTTAAACAAAGCAAGAATGGATGAAGGAAGAATCCATAATCCATCTCCACAAATCAAACCAGAAGCAACTGCAGGAACCATCAAACCTGCCTCACTGCTGTTTATTGTGTGCCAAGCAAACACAACCAAACTACCCACACACATATCAATGGCAAAGTAACCACCAACTATGAAAGGCACAGCCATTGCCATTGGAAGTGGAATCCATCTCCCAACCTTTTTTGGGGTTAAATCTCTGACCAAGTTGGCTGCTATGGCAAATGCAAAAAATCCATAACAGAGTTGCAAGCAATGATGGGGAAGGGCAGAAAAGCCTTCCACACCTAGGATTGCCATGTTTCTATATATGATGGCATATGGGGCCTTGTAATTACCATCTGGATTCCCCACATCAAAAGCCTTGTAAAAAAGGAAGAATGTGAGAGGAGCAACAATACAACCTATTGCTGTTCCAATAGCTTGACTTATAAGCATTGAACGAGGGGAAGTGAGAGTGAGGTGGCCAGTCTTGAAATCATGCATCAAATCAGATGAAATTGAAACAATAGATTTAATCAGGCCACATCCCACTAGTCCAGCAACTACACCATCATTTTTTCCACTCAAGGCTGCAAGAACAAAGAGAGCCACTTTCCCATAGTTATAGGCCATGTTCATGTCAGTTAAGCCTGCGCCATAAGCATTGCAGAAGCCAAGAGTGGGTGCAAGAAGATAGGCAAACACCACATAATACCACTTCAACTGGGGGAACATCAAAGGGATTCCAACTGCGGAAATGATGGAGAACAATATGTATCCTGTGCATGCCAACCATAGAGGAATGCTTTCTCTTGTAAAGACTTCATTTCGTCTAAGATCATCAATAGGTAGCTGTTTATCGTTATCTGGAACTATGATGATAAGGAAATATTAGATTTCACTGACAAATACGAGACTTACTGATATATCATAAACCACTCAGGAACTAGAGAAGTTATATGAGGCCATTTGCTTACATGTACTAAGGTTCTTCCTTTTCATTGTGGCATGGATATTTGTGGAAGTGAAATAGAGAACTTTGACAAAATTGTAAAGCCCATCACCAAGAATTAAGGCAATGGAAATAAAAACCTGCAGCAAAGTAAAAAAAATAAGGCTTGAAATTGAAAGACCTAAAATCAAATAATATAACTCTGATAGAGTCCTTTAATTGTAGCTAAATTTAGACCTTATAACCATTAAGGCTCTTCATGCTACTCTCTGGTATATTTGCAGGGAACCATTCTCCTTTTTCTCTCCCGATTAACGGCCACATAATGCCCCATGAAATCACAGCACCAAGAAGCAAGGATAAATTTACAAGATGGGAGCAAATCATTCCTGCTCCAACATAAGTCATGCTGAAATCGAAGTAAAATCTGCCAAATTCAAGTGCTTTAGTCAGTGACAATGGACAATTATTTCATGCTTGGGAGACTTTTGCTAGTAGAAGAAAGGCTAAGGAACACACGAGTTTTTCCATGCTTTCAATCCAAAAGTGGGAAACTGAACAAAGCCACAATTATCTCCAGCAGTATAGAACCATTGAAAGAAAGCCCAAAGGAAACTAAGTGAGAAGAATTTCATGAAACCATGAACCTGCTTCCTGCGAAAGAAGTTGAACAAGCTTTAGCTTCTATAAAGATTCACCATATTTAACTTGAAAATATCAACCAAAAAAAAAGCCAAACAAAACAGGTTGGTACCTGGCCATCACATCTCCTTTAGCAGTATGGAACCCGTTAATAAGAACAGCAGTAGCAGTTCCACTTGGATAAGTTAACTTGTAGTCTATTATCATGATCTGTTAAAATAACATAAATTTCATGAGCAACACCATTCAAGTCACGCAGAACCAAATTGTTTTCAAACTGAGATTATCATCGTTTCTACAGTAAACTAATTAACTTACAAGAATAACAACGTTTGAATGACCAATTGCATCATGTGCAAAATCATAAGAATTCATTACTAAAATGAAATACCTTTCTAATGGGGACCAAAGCCAATAGCCCAACAAAGCTGGTCACAAAGAGAAAGGCTATCATCCAACCAACTCCAGGCTCCTTGGTACTATCAGGAGTATTCCCCTCTGTATCAATCCCTGCTTGCTCATAAGTCCTCCTATTCAAGCCCAAGAGATAAGACCCAAAACCACCTACAATTACACGAGTTCAGTTCAACAAATTGTGTAAGAAAACACTACTATTTACTCAAATACAAGTTAAAGAACTAAATATAGACATCAAACAGCAGAGAAATTGCAGAAAAGACTCACCTCCTACCGCGATGCTATAGCAAGCAACCGCACAAGTTTGGATTATGGTATTCTCCTGTCTAGTGAATGGGGTTGAAACAATCTTGGCTTTCCCAAGCAACTTAGTCCAAGTTCGAATAAACACAAAACCAAGTAGAGCAGCTGAGACATTGAGATTGGGGACTAACCCAGTTGTTAGGTTCAGCTTCATCACAATCACACTATAAATTATTCCAATAATGAAGCTAGCTATTATCCCCCGAATCGTGATCTGTCTCGCCCATGGTGCTATTCTACTCACATCATCAGGCCCAACTGGAGCTTCTTCAATGTCCTCTCTGTCGAGATTCTCAATCTCTTTGAGTTCTTCGTTCCTCATGGTACCCATTCGGTTCACCAAATCGTTAAATCTGAATGAATCAATCATCGCAGAAAAGAAAATAAGGAAAGTGTTATTCTAATAGAGAAGAAAAAAAATTCAATGACAGCTAAAGCTTCCTGCTTGTTGACTTAACTTTGCTTCTCCGTTAAAGAATCATCCAAGTTACACACAACTCAACTTATAAACCAATTGTCTAACATGATTATAATTCTAAGTAAAACTAATAGAATACAATAATTGTAACAAAAAATAATAATATTAAATAGGTAACTGAAAAAAAAAATTCCAAAAAACTAAGAGAATCCGATCCTACAATGGAAAAGCTCATAGATTTTATGCCACGTAACTAAAAACTGTTGAAAGACGTAACCCCATCAAATATCTTACCTCAAAATTCCGTTTCGATGATAAAAAATTGAATCTTCGTGACAAGGAGGACCAAGGCTTCAATTCAAGAATTCTATTCTCCACTGCGTGAGAAAAGATTGAAATGAAATTCCCACCTCGTCCAGTCTAAACCCTGCAAACAACCCCAGTCTAATGACAAAAACCACAACTCAACAGAGACTAGCAAGAAATGGAAAGTTTAACAATGATGCAGAAGAAGCATGAGAATCCCGAAAGACAAGGCAAAAATCAACTCCAAAAATCAGATATTTGTAGTTGACATTGTCAAGCCAAATCAACCAACAAAGCCCCTCCCTGCATGTAGTACAACGTAGTGTGGTACTACAAAGGGACTTTTCGAAAATACTAATGTTTTTTGTACTACACCCACTTTCCAAATAAGCTCCACATTTTGTTTGGCCATAAAAATTTTCGAAATCAAAGTCGTTCAAGTTGACTCACATACATATATTGAGATATTAGAGAGAGAAAGAGTGGGCGGTTGGAGAAAAATAAGGGTTGGGTGCTCCTCCTTCAGTTCGTGGCTTAAAAGTTAAAACTTAAAAAGAGTGTGTTGTTGTTGTTGTTGTTGTTATTCTAAGTCTAGGTTGGGTAGTGGCGTGTGGCGTAAACATGGCGTATTAAAATGTCAGAGAAGTGGGAATGTGATGAAGGTAGAAAGGTCAACGAAACATAACTATAAAAGATAATGAGAAGCAGATGGTCATTATATTCGAGGGTGAGACGCAGGGAATGACTTTTGCAGGGACAAGGAAAATGCAAGTGGACACGAGCGTGGGACCCACACTATGAGGACATTGACGCGCGTTTGCATTCTCCATCAACCCCAAGGGGCCATTCCCTATTCATTTTTTTCACAAGATTGAGAGTACAAAGACAACCCTTCATAAAAACATCAAACACAAAAGAAGAAAGGAGACAAAGAAGGAAACATCAAACACAGCTCTCGTTCAGCTACACTACAAGTCTACAAGGCTCGTTGTTTTTTTATTTTATTATTTAAAAAATGGTATTGACAAATAATAATAGATGAATATCTGTTCAGGAACAATTGTATATTATTAGGTGGGATACAAGTCTATATTCGATCCACGGCATATACTTGGACAGTAGTCACATGTTAGTTCACCGAATTTTTATGCATTGAATTTTTAAATATAACTTTTTTGAGAAAGTAAAGTTATTTTATATTTGGATGAATGATTTAAAATTTGTTTTTACATAAAAAATTATTTGGATGTTAAAGATAAAAAAAAGAACTTTTTATATACAAAATTACAAAAAAGGACATTAATTGAGAGAGCATTAATGTTGTAATCACTTACTTATTTGTTGTGTGGCTTGATTTGTGTGTTTATTTTTTTGCTTTTGTGACTGTGGCTTGAAAATAAAAATAAAAATAAAAATCAAGGACCAAATAAAAAAGAAGAACCAAAAATAACAATTGTAGAATGAGGAGACACTAAAGAAAACGATAACTTAAAAGAAGAAAATGTAGGAATGAAAATAAAAAAAGCGAACCAAATAGTGGTAGCTCAGTTGGCACATGGGTAAGGATGTGCATGGGTCGAACCAAATCGATTTTTTTGAAAAACCGAACCGAATTGGTTTAAATGGTTCGGTTCGGTTCAAAACTGGTTCGGTTTGGTGGGAAACGGTTCGGTTCGGATCGACCTTCTTTTGAAAAGAAAATAAAAATAAAAAATAAAGTTATAAAAATCAATTTGGTTCGGTTTGAAAATAGTTCGGTTCAGTTCGGAAACGGTTCGGTTCGGTTCAAAATGGTTCGGTTCTTAAACTGGTTCTAAAAATCGATTCGGTTCTTAAACTGGTTCTAAAAACCGGTTCGGTTCATGAACTGGTTCTTTAAAAATCGGTTCAGTTCATGAACTGATTTTTAAAAACCGATTATTTTAAGGGGCGGTTCGGTTCGGTTCATGGTTCAGTTCAGTTTTTTGGTTATTTTGCACACCCCTACGCATGGGAGCTAAGTAGGTGGGGGGTGAGAGCATGTGTTCGAATCTTCCCAGTATCACCTTTGGGAGGGGTTTAAAGCCTTAATTCTGGACCCACTCCGAATTAGATTAGTTGTGAAGCAATGAACCGATTGGTATATTTCTAAAAAAAAAAAAAAAATGTTTGATTATAAAGTAATAGGTTGTAATAGCTAACAAAAAAACAAAAACATGATCATGGGATAGGAAGAGACAAGGGGCTGATATGATAAGGTTATTTTGCATTTAAAAAATTATATTATGTTTTAGGTTCTGCTTTTTTCAAAAGCAATCAACTATTGGCTAAAAAAACACCATTTTAAATTTTATTTTAAATTTTGCTTTTTTAAAAAGTTGTTATCCAAACAAGTAAAATTTCTCAAAATTACTTTTTTTTTTAAAAAACAACTTTTTAAAAACAAAGGCTCTGATTGATTACTGTTTTTAAAAATAGTTTTTTAGTTTTCAGAACAAAAAAACTTATTTGGTAAGGCTTGTTTTGTATTTTGTTTTTAAATCAAATTTAGAGAACTTGTCTTAGTTGTTTTTGTTTTCTCTTTTGGTTTTTAACTTTCAAAACAAAAAAAACATAGAAAATAATTATTTTCATAATTATTCTACAAAATAGTTTTAAAAAGATAAAACCAAAACATAATCAAACAGGCCCAAAAGCTCATCCAGACGATTTCTAAATTCATTTGTTTACTCACACTTTTAACAGAGTTAACAATTCTAAAAGTAAAAAAAGTTTTATTGTTTATATTTTTTTTTGATAACATGATTGTTTATATTTTTAAAATAGGGTTATATTAATCTCATTTTATATGAGATAAATAACTTTTCTACACACACAAACAAGAGATAGATCCCATCACTTTTTTTCTCTCCTCTTACCTGTGGTCCCGCTTGTAATTTTATTTCTACAATATAGGTAACTATTTTTCTACAACATAAAAAAAGTATTTTCCTTTAAAATATATAAAGTTATATCATTTTAAGTGAGAGAAAAATACAAGTAATGAAAATCATGAAAGAGAAAGTGATTAAATTTTTTAAATTTAAATTTAAAATAATAATATTATATTATATTTTTCTCTCTTTTAAAATAATATAATTATATATCCTTTAAAAGAATAAATATTTTTTCCATAAAAAAAATTAAGAGGGGAAAGGTCAACAGAATGTCTCGGCAATTGAGATGCTGGGAATGCCTTGCAAAAAAAGATTTTGATTGGAAGTGTTTTACACCTGGAGAAGTTTATCCCTTTTATTGGCCAATTTGGGAGGTAGCTTTCGAAGATATGGAAAAGGTAATTAATTTGAAATAAATGTGATATTGTTGTATTTATGGTGGATTTCTTTTAAGAAATTTTTCCATATTTCTTTTCTTTTAACTTCTGAGTATAGCATTAAATTTTCTTTTTACATTATTGGCTCATTTCTTTTTATGATATTTGCACAAAGGTCGGTTGTACTTTTTTTTATTAAGCTTATTCAAATATCTTTAAGAAAATTTAGATATACTTTTTATTCAAATGGGCCTTTAATTTCTTCATATTTTATTGTTTAAGCATTTCATTCATTTTAAAAGATCGGTTTAAGGTTATTAAATATTTCCAAATGTCAGAAAATATAAATATAATTGAGTAAACTAATGTTTGTTATATATTTTATATAATGAAGATATCTAGAATAATATTAAAATTAGAAAATAATTAATTTGTTTGTAAGTTTTCTAAAACAATAAATAAAATGAAACAAATTAAACGGTTAAAATAATTATTAGGATAATTCAGTATGAAGATAAAAAAAAAATATTTTTAATACTTTGATTCCAATATAAAATTTCAAAATAACTCATAAATTTATATGAGAATTTGTGTATGTAAAAACAAAAATATATTATTAAAAATTTTATGTTTCAATTGATTCGAATTGAATTAATTGAATAATTAATGAATTTATTAAGAAATTATAAAAATTCGAATAATTTAAAAAAGCTAAATTAGTTTTCTATATATGTGTGTGTGTGGATTTAACAATTTTTCTTTTGTTGCAGAAAATTTTTCTATACCTTACTCATATAAAAGTGAGTGAGTCCCATTGCAAAGATAAGAGAATGAGACTCATTACCATACTCTAGAATACACAACCACATATAGTCAATCTATAATACCCCTAACTTAAATAATTTAATTAATTACTTTAAATTAAGTAATTAAGCATGTATTAGTGAGTAAAATTAAGTATATGGCCTAATTAAGTGAATTGTGGTCACTTTTGAGGTAAAAAGTGTACTCAGTGAAAATTAAGAGGTATAAATGTGTGTAGGCAAAAGTACCCAAAATATAAAAATGGAAGTGAAAATATCCCTAGAAAAATATTCCAGACATTTGGGTAAAGTTTGGTGGTAAATGAAGTTGAATAGATAGATGAGCTAATACCCGCTTAAAGCCACTTAACATAAGTTAAGTGACTAAAAGCAATGAAACCCATTCCCCTCCCCCCATACCTATCGACAAGAAGAAAAGAGAAAAGGAGAGAGGGAGAAGCAAGAGAGAAAGGGAGGGAGCCCCAAACCCTAGATCCTCCAATCCTTAACCTATTTGAGTGATTCAAAAGCCTAAACCACTTAGATTCTTCCTCTCATCCTTAACCCTAACTTAGTTTTGAGTGGGAAGCATTATGGAGTGAGATATCTCCCTCCAAAGATT